TCGGTTCATTTTATATTAGAGAATTATTAGGAATTAGCGAAATACTTTAAATAAGTATTTCGCTAATTCCTAATAATTAAATAGATGTATTAAATAGTACTTGACTTTCTCTGAACATTTTTGAAAGGGAATAAAATAAGTTTTTTTTTTTTTTAAGTATTATTTAAAACTTGTAACTGAGTTATTATAAAATGTAAGGGAAATAATTCTTTTAATTATACTTATCAGATTTTTTTTTACCCTTCATTTCAACAATACATATTCTAAAACTCTTTATTACGTTCTTAAGTGCGCATCTCATAGTATTTGCTTTACAATACCTTTTAATAGATTGCTTTTTTCCAATACGAACAATTCTTGCTTAAATAGTTTTATAACGTATTTGTCAACAGGATTTCAATTTATGTTTACAATTCAATGTTAAGGTTATTATATATTTAGATAACATTTATAATCATTATAAATTAGATACATTTAATAATTAGATTTCTTCACAGTACTTTCACAGTTGTTTATAAGTGAATAAATTCTTCATTTCAAATACATTTATAAATAATTTAATGAATATTTATGTATTTTTTCAAAGGCAGATATATGCTTTTTGCAAGCACATGCATAAATACCCATACATATTTTCTACTTTTCATTTCCGGCTTATGCAAATCTTTAATTTCTGTGCAGTCACTATATTTTTCGTGTAAAGTAATTTACACTAATTTAGCATACACCCGAAAGTTTTACATAAAAATATATATGAATATAATTTGAATGAAAATTATATGTATTATTTTTAATACCAACTCAAAGGTCAGTTTTTCTTCAAAATTCGTCCACGATGGCATCTCTCTCTTTAGGCAGACAGCCCTCGCATGCGTTACTCTATTTAATAAAAACTTAATCTGACCTATGTGCCTAATTACAAATATTTTAACATACATAATTTTATATTTACATTTAGCCATCAAGTTTCCAACTTTTCAAATCTTCTAGAAAATAAATTTTGGCAGAGCACTCAGTATTTTAAAAGGTACATTTTACAATAATATATGGATGTGAAAAAAAATTGTTTTATTTAAAACATTTTAGAGTTTGGAAAATAAAATAAAAGTAGCGAATACTCTATCAAGGGTATCGACAGACGTATACAATTTTAAATGTACCGTAAGGTATTTTTCATTCTTTAAATATAACATTTTTCTTAAAATCTATATTTTTGTAGTTCAACAGCTTAGAATTTTATAAAACAAATTCATAATCAAAATCGCTGTTGTTAGTTATCGGAAAATAACCAAGATGTAATTTTTGCGTGAATGTCACTAAACTATACAAACTGCTATTATCCATCACACTATGAATGTTTCTTTCATGCGAAAGTTTTTCGATTTGTATGGAACTGTCGTGTGTCGAAATACTATCAAAACCCTGTCAAGCGAGCTTCTGAATGTAAACAAAGAACACCCCATCTGGTGACCCAAGCTTCAAAGCAGTGCTTCACTTCTAGTGCCTGTTGGCCCCTCCTTCCTTTCCTACCTCCATGGAGCAAGGGCAGACAGGGCAGTACCAGTACGGTGCCTGCCGAGCCTTACTCTGTCCCAAGAGCCCTCATGCCTTCTGTGAAGTCTGTTTTTATACCCCCCCCCGTGGTTGAGACTAGCAAGGTACAGATCTTAACCTGTACTTCCCAGATGTTTCTTGAAACTTGTAGTTTCATCTTTCGAAGCGTTAACCAATAGAGGGAAGTCCTCTTTCTTTCTGTTGAATTCTGAGATGTTTTTCTTCCGAATTTCTTGCGATATTCCTCGCAACCTCTATAACTGCAGGCATGGTCCTATTTGAAGAAAATGCAGGTGGATTTTTCGTCTTTCTTTAATGTGCATGTATTGCTACGATACGATTCTCCGTATTTGCAACATTTTTCCTTATTTATGCACAGATGCTGAGAGTGTCCCCACTCCTGACATCTGAAACACTGTAGTGGGCTCTTCCTTGGATTAAACTTTTCAATATTAACAACCACACTGAACATATTATTTAAATTATGGATGGCGTATCCTACTTTTGATCTCTTGAGTTTTAATAGCCATATAGGAAGTTTTTCGACATTTCCTCTGCTATTTCTGCTAAACTGTTTGACCTTATTGATCGGAAACTGTCGTCTTTGCAGATCTTCGAAAATAGTTTTTTCTTTTATTTTCTCCGGCAATCCTTTCAAAATGGCTTTTATGGGCTTCTCGTGGCTCATTAGGTAAGTGTGAAACGGTACGCCTCTCTTTTTCAGTATTAGTATAGCTTCTCTGTAGTCCGCAACTGACTTATTATTCACGAAATTGGACTTCCTTTTCATTTCTTCGCTTTGCGATGTTTTCGCCGTTTTTCTGGGGGATAGGCAGGGTCCTTCTTGATCGATCGATTGCTTTTCTCTTTGACTATTTTTTATTGGATGTAGAGGGCTGTCACAGCTTTTCTGAATTTGCTGCCTTACCTGCTGGTGATTTGAGTGTGTCCATAAGGGCATCAATTTTACCTGAGAGATCTTCTGAGTCTTGCTTTTTAATCTGGGCTTCTTGTTTATCTGAATCGTTTTCCGCCGATGTTTTAATTTTCTTCTTATTATTCTTTTTCTTCGGAGATAGTAAGAAATCTTTTTTTCTCAACGGTTGTGGCTCCGTTACTTCGAAAGACCTATCGAAATCTTCATCATCTGAAACGTCGACCGGTGTCCCCAAAAGGGACATTTTCCTGTACCCGACGCTGTGGCTAATCGCACTGACGGTGCGAATAGCTAAGAGGCTATTCACGCCACCTACATTAGCGCATGCGCACAATCAGCTCAGGTACCAGCATTTTACGCCGATTTCCGTAAGGCAGGCGCACGGAGTAAGGCATTATACTCCGTGGGCAGGCGGTAGCGAAAGCGAAGGTTGTTAACCCTAACTCAGCAATAGAAAGGGTTGTTAGTAGTTCACCAGCAAAAGAATAATTTGCAAGTAATAATTATCAGTTACGAAGACGAGGCCAATCTATATATACATGATAATGTTCAGGAAATGATTAGATAAAATAGGGATTTAATGATGGTTCTAATTGCGAGCGAGGACGTGTAATTAGTTAAAAAATCTTTAACGTATTAACAAAAAGTCTATAGAAATTACTTAAATTCTTTTATTTAACAGAATAATTTTATGCAAACTTAGACCGTAGTCTTATAGCATAGGACTGTCAGAATTTATTATTCAATATGAAAACTTACTGAACATTATAATATTCTTATATATTCATCACTTTTTCAGTACCCACACATGTTTATAGGTTCAAATGCCATATTTCAAAGTTATGAAATAAAACCTTATAAAAGTAACTTTATAAAAGCTTATAAAATCTGATAAATCATTTGTGTGTGCGAATTTTTAAATTTAAGTCTTTTACATTAAATTATTTCTATCTTTTAAATTACATCCCATTATTTATTTCAAATTAATTTATTAATGTGTTGGTACTAATATTTCAAACTTCTTTGAAACACTTGTGTCCTGAAAATGCCAAGTATTTCTATAAAAAAATAAACAGGCGTACAAAATTGTTAATAACCAGTATTATATGATTAATTGTTGATTTAATCGCTTTTAACTTATTTCATGTCTAAATTTTCTACACAGAAAGCCTGTGTCTAATTTTTTATTTTCTTTACTCAAACAATATTCAAAGAGGAATGAATTGAATAAGTTTTGATTGTGCAAAACACATCTTTGAAGCTAAATGTATTCTAAAAAGTACAAAAAATGTAAACAAGATTTTGTACCCCAATCAAATCAATCATTTAAACTATTCCAACCGTTCAGTAAAACGATAAACATTGTGAACATAAAACTCTTTCCTCTTTTATATATACTTTAATAAAAGGAAATGTGTTCCTTCTTTTGATATATATAAGAAAAGAAACCCATTTTCCTTCCTAAACGTTTGAAAGTTGCCAACGCTTAAAAAATGATAAACTACGCCAAGGTAAGTAACCCGCCTTTAAAAAAAAAAAAAAAAAAAAAAGATTCACTACAATACTTAAGCAGTTCGCGTACGTAGAATCCGTTTTTTTTTCGATTGGGTTCAAATGATGGATCCGACAACTCAATGCGCATGATTGGTTAATGTTGGTGCGAATAGCTCAAGCGGTTAATCGCACCGATGGTTCGAATAGCATCGGCCGTACCCGAGGGTAACTAAAAACAGATCGTTAAAAAATTTTTTTTACACACAAAAATACAGCAGAACTTCGCTGTTCGCCTACTTGACTGGGACAAATACACGTGATCCGAATACCGTGATGAGATTATTAATTGATAGGAGCCTTACTTGTGGTGCACGGTGTTTATAGCTAAATCTGTCACAGCTTTGGCTTGCTGCTTGCTTCCTTGTTTTCTTGTTTTTTTTTTTTTTTTTTTTGATTTGGATTGTATCACATTATGTCTGTTACATAATTATTACTCTTCAGGAACTCGGTAAAAATATTTATCCTGGTCTACAGGCACCCTACACCCATTTTATCAATTTATATGGCACAATCCATAATTCTATATTTCAACTTTATTTACACATCAAAAAATGCAATTTTAGAAATTCGTTAAGCGTTTATATCGACGTATATATATATATAAACATTATTATCTCCGGAAACTTTCGTTTCTAATAGATTAAAATATAAATGCTTAATTTATGCGTCCATTTTTCACATAATTAAGCCTTAAATGTAGGAAAAAATGCTGATAAATCTAAGTTAAAGCATTTTAACATTTGTTCCTTAAAATCTATGTTCTTTAAAAAGAAAACAAAATAAAACAGTAGGGCGTGGCTTCGTTAGTTTATATCAAGTTGCGTCTGCGATTTAAACTTTAATACGCTGCTTTTCGTATGTTTCATATTTCAAAACTTTTTTATGTGTCGTATATTTTTGGAATCAGCTCAAAGCACTATATTTTTTAAAATCCAGAACTAGTAAATTGATTTTTTGGAGAAACAGAAACGTTTCGCTATTGTGCTTTCATTAAAGATGGCAACGTTATGCACTGCCGGCAGCGCCGACAGTACGTGATTTCTGAAATCAAATTTTGTCTGGTTTGAAGCAATTAAAGGCGTATGCTACCATCTTCTTGATAATACTGTATGTATTTTTGAATTAATTTATAAGATTTTTTTGTGGTGTATTAAAATAATCATTTTTATTTGAAAGCTCATATAGTACTATGGAGTGATCAACTTTAGCTGTAATACATTTTTTAACTTCTCTGCCCTTTGGGCGGTCGTGTAAACCCCGTAGTCAGATTATCACGTTGTCTCGAAAGAAGCCGCTATTTGCAGTCGGTGTCTAATGTGTTAATGAATACTCAAAAGTATTGTAAGATGAGATGTAAGTTCATCGGTTATTGCTCGTAATATTACAGCATTGTTGATAGTTTTAAGTATCCGAATGATCTTTGCATCTTTAAATATCGCTTCGCTTTTAGGTTAAAAGAAATGGTACATGGTACTCAAGCAATTAGTCCGATCTCAGGAAAGTTAAAAATCGGCCGGTTGTATGCATTTTAATATGTGAATTGGTATATGTTATTACTGGAAGAAATCGGCATATCGTAATTTAATTTCATATGATTATAAATTATTTCTTGATTTTTCATAAATTAAAATCTTGCTAATCCGTTAATTTATCAAAAAAGTGCTTTAAAGCACTTCGTAATTTAGTATTTTCTTATTTCATGAAAGAATTAATTTTGATTATATTTTAAACTTATTATGTGTTCAGAGATGCACCAATTATGTGTTTAGAAATTGATGAATAATTTTCAAAATTACTTTAATCGTTAATCTATTTTATCCGGCATCGTACTTTCTAATTTTTTTTTGAAAATAAATGCTGCTGATTACAGAAATAATAAAAATGTATAGAAATAAAATAATTTTTTTAAACTTTCCGACGTTTAAAAAAAAAATTACTGCTTTTTGGAAAATTCGTGTAAATATGATAATAAGTAGTAGCCTTTAAAAAGCCAAAGCATATTTTGGCCTTTTAAATATTTTTGATTATTTACTTTCCTCATTCAAGTGTATTTCACATTCCTCATTCAAGTGTATAAATTTGAGTTTTTCTTTCTATTTCAGCATATACTTAGGAAAGGAGTAACCAGTTAATATGTGTTTTTTAAAACAATGAGACATTTAAAAAAAGAGGAAAGAGTTGCTCATCTCCTAGCCATATTAAAATCACTTGAATTATTTATCGATTGAAGTAAGTAATAGTTTAGAAAGCTTTAAAATTTTCTTTTGGGCCTTTTAACCTGTACATATGAGATTCCCATTATATGTATGAACCTAAATTAAATTCACATAATGCAATTGGATATATTTGCATTAAAATAATTGTGCACAAACCTGGATAGAAAAAATTTTCAGTATACTGAGTTCATTAATTTTGTAATGAATGCATTAAATATGAGAAATTAATCAAGGAGACAATTTCTATTTCCATTCCGCTGATAAAATTGTAATATTGGAATGTTATTGTAAGTTTTTAAAATGTTGATGATTTATACATATATTCAAAATAATTGCAACCCTGAAATAAATTCTGAGGGAGATTTATGTTATATATGATAGCTAAAAGTTCAGAATTGTCTGGTGCAGAAAGAACAAAAAAAAAAAAAAAAAAAAAAGTATGTTGCAGTAAGGCACCTGATTTTAAGACCTTATTAAATTTTCTAATAAATGTAGCTTATGAAGAAAAAATGATGTACTGTCTGCAGCTTTTGAAGTTCATCTTCCGTATCATTCCTTAATTGCACGCTTCTGAATTTGTTGGGAACAATTGCACTGAGGTGCTGGACAAAAATATCTGTTCATACTGTGGGCAAATTCATTACTGGAAGAGCAACTTATTTAAGCTTTTTTTTTTTTTTTTTTTTTTTTTTGTTACTAAATAAATATTTGGGCTAAAGTGCAGAATCACCCACTTTTACAAGAGTAAGAAGAATTGGATTTTTGTCAATTTTCTTTGACTTTTTAAGTGAAAATAGGTCGATGTGTACATGGATAAAGTCAAGGGAGTGCACAATGCCATTTTTGTGCAATTCTGGAATTTTTTTTAAGTGAAAATAGGTCGATGTATACATGGATACTGAGTATGTGCAGTTCTTAAAAAAGCGCCAAGCAATGGGCAGTTCTGCACTTTCACCAATATTTGGCACTAATTTAAATCTGCTATTGTAGCTTGTTCAACGTAAGCGCTACTGTTGCGTTAAATATGTATGCCTACTTTATCATCTTTTTATACTGAAGAGTCTTACATCGCTTGATATCTGTTATGTCAATATAGCTTGATTTGATAATTCCTCTTTTAACAAATTTGACAATATTTCTTTAAAAATGTTGTATTTTAAAAAAAATATATATATACATATTTAGTTGCTTCAATGTAAGCCTATTTAGTGGCCAAGTAAGTAAGACATAGTTGGACTTTAGCTAAAGGCTGACTGTGTGGATATTATTTTGCTCCTTTCTCTTGCATAATCTAAATAAAATAAGGTTTTACCTTTAAAAATGTTCCAACAATAAGTTTCTGCTCTGTCACATATCATCAGTATGTTTTGACCTGATCAACCAGCTGTCATAGCATAACTTATTGAATGAATAAAGAATTCACATGCTTTTATTTGATTTAGAAGTAAATTTCAGTTCTGAAGTATTTCTGCACCCAATTTAAGTATGATTATTTGGGGAAAGTGCAGAATCGCCAACTGCTTGGCACGTTTTTAAGAATTGCACATACTCGGTATCCATGTACACATCAACCTATTTTCACTTTAAAAAACATGAATTGCACCTATTTTCACTTAAAAAAACATGAATCCCAGAATTGCACAAAAATGGCATTGTGTACTTCCTTGACTTGATCCATGTACACATTGACCTATTTTCACTTAAAAAGTCAAAGAAAATTTACAAAAAACTTAATTCTTCTTACGCTTGTAAAAAGTGCTAAACAAACACAAATCAAATAAGTGGGCGATTCTGCACTTTAGCCAAATAACAAAATACAATTTTAAATTAAGTAAGTCTGAATTTTACTAAAGTAAGTTACCAGAGTTTAACAGATAAACTATAAATGATAGATTCCAGGTAAGAACATTATGCAGTACGAAGTCCGAAAGTCCATTATCCGGAATGATCTAAAATCCGGACATCAAAACCACCACTGTTTTTTTCTCATTGGCTTTGTGCATGCACATTTGATTTTCCCCCTCAGTGCATAATAAAACATCTGGAGAGTCCCGATTTTTAATTTTACTACTACATTAAAATAAAAAATTTTGTTACTGAAGAAAGCATATTTTGGCATTTAGAAGAAGCAGTTATTTTAGCATGAATTTGTATCATCAATAACTTGGCTCTGTAGTTGCCAAATTGCCTGCTTGGCTTACATTTGAAACCGAAACATTCTACATAGATACATCGTTGAATTTACACTATTTTCTTTTAATCCCTGGCAAATCATTATTTATTATATTTAGCTTTCATCACGGCATGTTTATCAACATAAGTAGTGACTCATAGTGATGCCTAAACAATTTTTTTTTATGTTAGTAATTGAATAAAGAAGAGTGGTAACCTTGTATGTTGGCATTATGCTTAAGAATGATTACAGATTTAAGTTAAATGTGGTAAGAAATGTTGACGAGAAAAAAAAAAATTCCTTATGCTAAAAATAGATTTTGTTCACGATACTCATAGGCCAAAAGATTACATTTAGCGTTCTTTGAATTACGAATAGCTAATTTCTTATTCTCATAAACTCAGAAATGGGTGGCAGAATTTAGGGAAGACGAAGACGCTTGGTAGCAGAATTCAGGACTCTCAGAGACTGCATCAGGCAGTAAAATATCTAGTGTGGTAAACATTAAGTATATGTAGCAGTTTATTTATTCAGGACTTAACATGTGCAAGAAATAAACATAAATATAATAAATAACTAAACTAATACATTTCAGGCTTAATTGTCTTAGTGCGCGTTAGAAGCAAGATAAAAATTTAATGGAACAACTTGTCGTTAGTCGCCAAGCTCATGATGCATAGCCAAATATGCATAGTGAAGTGATAGCTAAATTTGATGATGATAGCTGCTAATTTTAAAGGTTTTTGAGTATTGCGAGAAAAAGGTGAAATTTCTCAATTAATGGATTTTGTAAAGAAATGTGGAGAAGCTGTAATAAATGAAGATGATATAAAAGAAGTTTTTCATTGTGATGGCAATGCTTCAATCATCAATCAATCAATCAATTAATGAATAATGAAAACTGCAGTATGGTTTTAGATCCAGAAAGGAAAGAAGTTGCTGAAAACGAGAAAATTTCTATTGACAAATTAGCCGAAATTCTCGAAACGGCAGTTACGACTTCAACAATGTATCTTGCTATGTGTATTAGTATGTACTTAAAGAGAAAGTATTAGCACAAAAAAACGAAGCAATTTAAACAACTTACATTCAAAGAAATGCTTAATAAAGTAAAGAAATAAATATTAAGTTTTTTTTTTTTTGTAAATTTTGATACCCTTTAGATCATAAATATTTCATTATTTCATAAATCACAATTTCATATTTTTCATTTTATAATTTCTACAGGCGATCTTACTAGATTTAAACTGATGAACTAATATTTGGAAAAATCCGGAAGTCCTGACGAGTCGCGTACTTTGTACTGTATTGCATTCTGGGAAAATGTAGAAACTGTTAACATTCAAGTACTAGTTGATGAAAATTGAGAAATTGTTTTGCAATTAATAGTTGTAGTTAATTGTTAAAATAATTGTTTACAGTGGAAAACTGCAAAACTTATTACCATTACATACGTAGTTTACTTTTTGAGAAAGCATTTAAGCATAATTGTTCATATTATGTTATCTGGTGTGTATCCTTTGTATTTTGCATCAAGAAATCACTGTTTTCAGATGTAGCAAATGAAAATCCACAGACAATATTTTCAAATAAAAGTATCTTCATCCTAGAATTTTGAATTAAACATTGTAGAAAAATGTTGACAATTTTTAATTTATTGAGGAGCGAGGAGATGATGTATCATTTTCCGAGGAAAAATACAGGTTAGAGTAGACTGAAGGCTACCCCTTGTATTATCGCGAATTTGCTGTTTCGTTTATGGTAACCTGAGTAGTTGAATATTCCGTAAATATACTTTTACCTAGAATTTGGTGCTTTGTTAATTTTTTTAAGTGAAAATATATTGATGTGTACATGGACAAAGTCAGGGGAGTGTGCAATGCCAAATTTGTGCAATTCTCTGATTTTTTTTAAGTGAAAATAGGTTGACGTGTACATGGATAAAGTCAACTAGTTTGTGCGATTCTATGATGTTTTTATAAGTGAAAATAGGTCAATGTGTATATGGATACCAAGTTTGTGCAATTCTTTGAATTGATATTTTGTCTGAAAAATCGCTGCTACACGAAGACAAAATAACAGGTGTACTTGTAAATATACTTTTACCAAAATATATATTACCTTGCAATGGAATATGTATAAGGGGCCATGAAATAAAACTACATGTAAATAAAAGTATGTGGGGGTGCAATGTGAAAATTTGTAAACAAACACAAAAAAAAAAAAAAATCAAATCCAACAATTAGTTTAATGGTTACTACTATTCCTAATAGTGCTGCATTTCATCTGCTGTTGGGCAGAGGAACTATAACATCGCTTAAGTGATGGATAGGCAGCTTGACATTTGTCACAGTATCACGATTGACCGGAACAATTTTATGAGAGGTTTGTTTGCTGTATTGGCAGGGACAGGGAAAAGTGGATGGAGCACCAGAACTTTATGAGCGACTTTGACAGATATTGCTCTGCCACACTACTGTATCCGCTGAGCATTCAGTTGGCCAGCATCAGAAGCCATTCTAACAAGACATTTACTGATATAATTTACATTAATTCTAGACTTTCATGTTGAATATGCAATTATTACAGTGAACTTAATTGATTAACAAAAGTTGGGTTATGACATTAATGTAACATAATTACTTTGAACATATATTAGTGCATCATGCAAGCAATACATATATATATATTAGAATATCTAATTGCACTAACCCTCTTGCTGCGTAATTTTTTTTATCAAAATAGGTTCGCAGATTGCATAATTTTTTAATTACATATTTCAAATCTACATATATTTTAGAGTTAAAAGTATACAAAGTTTTTGTAAAAGAGTTTTTTTG